TGGTATTTGTGGTGGTAGTAGTGATGGTAGTTGTAGTGGTGGTAGTAGTGGTAGTTGGTGGTAGTAGTAGTAGTTGTGATGGTAGTAGTTGTAGTAGTAGTGTTAGTAGTAGTGGTTGTGGTGGTAGTAATAGTAGTGGTGGTAGTAGTAAAGGTGGTAGTAGTGGTAGTGGTAGTATAGTAGTGGTAGTAGTATAGTTGTGGTAGTAGAAGTAGTGCTGGTGGTAGTAGTAGTAGTGGTAGTAATGGTAGTGGCAGTGGTAGAAGTAGTATAGTTGTGGTATTGGTAGCATAGTAGTAGTAGTATACTTGTGGTAGTAGTAGTAGTGGTGGCAGTAGTGATAGTAGTAGTAGATGCAGTAGTAGTGGTGGTAGTAATGGTAGTGGCAGTAATGGTAGTAGTAGTATAGTAGTGGTAGTAGTAGTGGTGGTGGTGGTAGTAGTAGTAATATAGTAGTGGTAGTAGTAGTATAGTTGTGGTAGTAGAAGTAGTAGTAATATAGTAGTGGTAGTAGTAGTATAGTTGTGGTAGTCGAAGTAGTGGTGGTGGTGGTAATAGTAGTAGTGGTAGTAGTAGTGATGGTAGTGGTAGTAGTGGGGGTAGTAGTAGTATAGTAGTGGTAGTAGCCTGTGGCTACCCTGCCAGTTTGTCGTAATGGATAAAACAATGAATTCTGAACTCTAACAGGTGATCTTGGCTGTGTCAGGACCTGAGTCTCTTATTCATCAACAATTACAAGAAAACCCATCACTGCACCACCCAATCACAGAACAAACAGCCAGCCAAGCTTCCTGTGCCCCCCTCCCCCGATAGATGAGTGCTAGTGTGTACTTTGAAGCTTTATCGCTAATGTTTTCATGTGTCTGTGTAGTTGAGGTTTGGGATTCTCTCAAAGGCTGGGCCCCTGATAAAGGTTTGTGGGGGATGTCGTGTGGGCGGTTAGTTCCCACAGACGTCTGGTACCTGGAACTGCAGTAGGAACGGGCCTGTGGACCCCCAGCAGGAAGCCTCACCCAGAGCGTGAGGGGCCAGCCACCTGCTGGGGGGGCAGGGGCCGGGGGGGGGGGTTCAGATCGTTGGTGCTACAGTTGGTGGCTCCAGCAGACGGGAGGGAACATTTTCTAAAAGTTCCCTGAACATGTCGTGAAGGTTTCAGGAGCCCAGTAAAAGAGTCCAACAGGCCTGGACTTCTGGTTTCTACAGGTTGATTACCTTCAACTCAAACCATCTACTCAGAAATTCAGATTTTGTGAGTAGATGCTGTGTTTTATTTTGTGAACAAAACACAGAATGCTGGATTATTCTCCTCTGTAGTTTTATTTGGTCTTAGATCTCAATATCTGGTTAAATAGTCTCCACAACTACTTCACTTTTATAAGAAAACGGTGCCAAACATTAAAGTAAAAAAATGGCGGTACGATATTTTGTAGCTTGTAGATACATTTCTCTAGACGTAACTTCTGTTGTTTATATTTTTAAGGGTGGTGTTTTGCAGATAGAAAATGATGCTGTTTCTTAATCGATGCTAAAAGAAAAAAACAGCTATGATGGAAAGTCTCCACTTGTGTAATCGGTGTGAGAGCGATTTAAACGAGGCGCTTTGATTGGATTTATTGCCGCGGCTGAATCGGGACCACGAAAAACAATTCAGGCCCTGCGAGGTCCTGATGTGATCCAGATGTTTGGAAAGAGAAGGGGAGCAGCGGGAAAGGTTCAGGGTTCGGGGTTCCCTTTCGGCCTTTTTTCATTTGAAACGAACTGTCATGCTAACACCGTTAGCTTGACGCGCTAACGGTGGGAACACAAAGATCCAGATCCGTGGTTTCCATCGGCTTTAAGCCGTCTGCCGGACAACGGGATGCTGAGTCTGTTCACCATCACCCAGCCCCTAAGGGGAGCCAATGACTAATCATGAGTTTCCCGGGGCAACGGGAGGAAAATCACCACCAGATGTAGCCCAGCACTGGAGCTGCTCGGGAGTTTAGGTTCCATTTTTGCTCGTAAACAGGAATGCGTTTGAGGTCTGACCATCTGCTCGGCAAAAAAAAACAAACCCTTCCAGAACAGAAAGTGTCCGTTCGTATTTTGGCCTTTTGGCTGGGCAGCCATGCTGCATTTTCTTTTCTCCTCTGTGAGAGCAGCCCCCCCGTTTCTGCGTTTGGGGTTTTACGGCAGCCCGTCCCAGTTGTAGTTTGAGATCTCCATTTATTTTTCAGAAGGCCGGGGAGCCGTCGGAGGGCTTAGACGTGTTACATAACACCCCCGCAGCCCAACAGCCCGCTGCAGGCCTCCCCAACCGGCTCCACTCATCAATAATTGAAGTCTCATGTTCGGGGACGAGAACCCGCTGGTCTCTTCCCCCGTCTCTCCTCCGGCTGACGGCACATTTAACGCCGTCTCTTTTCCCACCTGGAAATCCAGGTACGGCTTTTCCATCGGACGCCAAACAGACAAAGAGGCGGTGCGGCCGAGGGGAAGCCGGAGATGAAGCCATTTGCTCGTTCGATTTAGATCAAGGGCTTCTGCATTCTCTCTGTAGCTATGATTCATTTCAGGCCTTTTTTTTATTCTTATGGACCCGGTTTAGAGGAAGATCTTTAGAGATGCATTGAACGAAGTCGAGCCTGGTCCAGTTGTCCGGCCCTAAAACGAGCCAGGCCGTGTTTGGATGTCAGTCTGACGGACATTAGTTCAAACGCTGTGTTTCCGTTCAGCCGGCTGCTGAGGATCCTCTGAGGGGGGGGGG